CGCTCTTTGGCCTTTTGGAAACTCCTCCTGTCACAGGAAGGTTTAAAGGCTCTAAGACCCTCTTTTGCTACTGTTTGTCATGGGACACAGAGGATTTTTTTTCCTTCCTCTCTGTCAGAGAGCTCTCTTTTTGTGATAGGGCACCCAGGCCCTTGGCTGTTTAATTTTGTCTTGGCTTTGAAGACCGATGTCACAGGCTTGGAGGTAGGAGATGTTCCTAGGAAGATCTGGGGCTCGACAGCTTTGGTCCATGCTCTTAGACTAGGAACCCGAAGTGCTTGGAAGCCTTTGTGTCTCTCATAGATCCGAGCAGTCAAACGAATCAAGAAAATAGCACTTTTTTTTTTCTTGTTCAATAGTCACTTTTGATTCTATATAATATTGGCTGATAAAGGGTATGTTTCAGCTCCAGGTTTTGATTTCTTTTGGGGCAATTTTAAGAAAAAAGAACCTGTGAAAATAATACTAATAAAATTTTGAGAAAATGAGACATTGTGAACACAGTAGTACTATGTATTTGTATGTATGCATATGTATTAATAAGTGTAATAAGTGTGTATATTTAAATAAACTTTTCTAAATACACTTGTGTGCTGTGGTTGTGAAGAGGTTTTTGTGTTGTATATTAATATATTAGTGCAAAAGTCTGCATTTTAAAAATCTAGCTTGTCTTTAAAGGGAAACTAATTTGCATAATACTTTTGCATTCCAATAAATCTTTTGTTTGCACTGCTCGTTCCTTGATGCCACTCAGAAAAATGTTACCTGGATTACTTTGATTTTTATTTTTTGATGGAAAATGTTGTCTTAAGTGCCTTTATGTTAACCTCATAATTTCTGATTTGCTCTGGCAAAAGCAGTCTAAGATCATGTAATTTATGATAAATACATGCATAACCTTCCTGTATATGAACATGGAAGGAATTTTTTTAAACTTTTTTTTAACAATTTTTTGCTTTTTTTTTGAATGAAGTTATGAATTTCAGAAACTTTGCTATTACAGGTAGCACCAATTGCAAATGCAGATGAGTCTGCAGAATCGGAGGGGATGATTGATTCTCAGAAACGTAGGGAAATACTTTCAAGAAGGCCTTCATACAGGTAAGGATTTCTTGGTTTTGAGGGTTTTGTTGTTTTTTTAAAGGTAGCTTACACATTATGACAAAACATAGACACTAGTTTTCTCATATAAATTTAAAATTCTGTGTACATTCTCTTTTAGGAAAATTTTGAATGAGCTATCTTCAGATGCTCCATTCTCAGAAACGTAGGGAAATACTTTCAAGAAGGCCTTCATACAGGTAAGGATTTCTTGGTTTTGAGGGTTTTGTTGTTTTTTTAAAGGTAGCTTACACATTATGACAAAACATAGACACTAGTTTTCTCATATAAATTTAAAATTCTGTGTACATTCTCTTTTAGGAAAATTTTGAATGAGCTATCTTCAGATGCTCCTGCAGTCCCGAAAATTGAAGAAGAAAAGTCCGAAGAGGAAGGAGCCCCCTCTGGCATTCTTTTTTTTTAACCAGCCTCTATCAGACTAGCACAGGGCAATACAGTATGTGTGCAAACATCCTGTGTAGTGCTGCAGTACATATATAGGAACAGTCTCTTTTCCAAAACAAACTTCATAGTGAAGTAGAGGTGTTTGATGAAGAAAGAGAGCTCTGCATTTCTAAATAATTTTGCTTTTTTATATATATTTAATTTCTGCTAACCTGGGCATGGCAGACTTTTAGTCTATTTTTTTGGTAATATTTGGTAATATTGATTGGTAGTTTTTTAGTCTCCATTGATACAGCATTATCTTTACACAGATAAATTATAAATGTTATAAATTACTGCAGTTCCACATTACTGTAATTATTGGTGTCACAAATTGGCAGTTAGTGAGCTTTTTTTAAAGTATAAGGTTGGAGTTGTCTTTTTTGTTGTTTGCTTTTTCACTTTGAATTTGTTTTTTTTTTTAAATGCCCCATCTCTTTTCCTCTCCAGTGTCCAAGTAAGGGTAGAGTATGAATCTTTTTCTACTTTGAGTTTTCCTTCTGCAATGGACCATTTCTCTCTCCCTCTTCTTTTTTTCAAATCTTAACATTGTGTTAACTGTGGAATTAACTCTAATTGTGGTCTTAAACTTTTTTTCTTACAAACACTACTTAAAAGTTAGATTCACAGTTCTGTAGACTTTTGAGAAAGCATTGAAAAGCCATCATTCCTGGTATTTTTGTTGGGCTGTCATCTACGGGCTTATCATTGAAGGGATTAATTTCCAGTATCTTTTTTTCCAGGTTTGTAGTGAATAAAACCTCGGTTTTAGTGTTATTTTTCATGTCTCCATGAGCAGACATACTGAAAAGTAGATATTCTTTCTATAATATAATGACAGGAAAGTTGTAACAGCATTGTGTTCTGAAACACTTTTGGGAATACAGGAAGTCTGCTAACTAACAATGGAGTATAAAGAGGATGGAATGGCTCTCTACAAGTTATATTGTAGTCACTATTAGAGTTCTTCAGAGTTATTTTTAGTTTGTCCAACCAGAGGCCAATTATCAGCTTTGAGAAAGCAGACTTTGCATATAGCATTACCCACCCTCCTGCATAAAACCAGTTGTTCCTGGGATTCCTAACCTGCTTTTCTTAGAGTTTCAGTGATCTGTGGACAGAAATAAATGTCTATGTCATGATGTCAAGTATCTCAAGCGCTCTTTTCCCCTGGCTGCTTCATGGTTTTCCAGTCCAGAATCTCACAGATACCCTTGACCAAACTCAATTCTCTTATTGAAATTTTTAAGGATTTTTTTTGATTGACTTGGGTTTCTTTTCAGAAAAAAAAAAAAAAAAAGCAATTTCAGGCTTAAAATGAAAGCTCTGTATTATCTGTGCTGTGTTCTTGTGATTCCTCAAACACCTTTAAGGAGACTATTCTCATCCAAAGATATTTTCATTTGAAAATAAGTATAAATTCTAGTATTGAGAAAGCATATCAAAGAACAATGAAATCATCATTTTTTTCTTTTCTTCAAACAGATACTTGTTTTCAAAAAATCAAACAGCAGAGAGCACCCCAACAATATGCTTGAAAAATGTAATTAAATCTAATTTATCTTAATTTCAACTTGGCTTTAGCATGAGCCAAGTGTAGAAGAGTTCTGTTTTATGCTGCTCTTTCTTTGAATAAATTGGATTCATAGGCTAAAACATGTGCTGTGAGTTTAGGACAATTTAATCTATAAATACTAATTTGATAAATTCTCTTCAGTATGCAGTAATTAGGCACTGCTTCAAGGTGCAATGTCAGCCTTCATAGGCCCTGCTGATTCTGGCTTACACGCTTTGTTTCCAGAGCTTTGTCTTCCTGGAAATGACTTTATTACCCAATTTATTATCTCATTAATATGCTATTTTTTAGCTCACCTGCCTAAGTTAAAATGTCATACACTCTTTGCTGCAATTATTTCTTTGCTACCTCCATTTATGGTTAGGAAAAATTCCATCAAAATGTTTCTTAGGGGGCTGTTTCTACCCGCGAAGTTCCTGCTTGCCACAGAAGTTAGCTGTGAGGTTGGAGTGAGGCCGCAGCCGGGGTGGGCATCTACTGCTGAGAATCAGTAAAGGGGCTTATTGGGAACCCTCCCCGAGAACCCGGCTCCAGACTTATCGTCCTCAGGACTTCTGAGCAGCCTCATTCCAAGAAAACAGGACCTGCTGTCAGGGAGCACTGTCCAGGATGCAGCATCTCGTGGGCTGAGATCCGTGTGGATGCGGTGCAGCCGGCGCTGCCCGGGCCTTGTCTGCGTCCTGTGAAGAGCTCTGCACCTCGGTTCATCACGGCCGCGTCCGACTGCCTCTGCTCCTGGCCAGCGTCCCGTGCGTGGGCTCTCTTGCGAGGCAGCCTGCAAAGCAGCCTCAGCATAAAGCCCTTACAGGTGCCCGTGGCCACAGAGAGTTTGTCACTGTAGCAGTGTCACTGCAGCAGTAGCACATCCATGGTTTAAAACGGGGGTCACGTCCTCCTTAGCTTGTAACTGCTTGTTTTCTCTCCTATATTATGCAGGACGGGCCATATGGAAATAAATTGGTGTTTGAAAAGATCATCTTGACCTCCCAGCCTCTGAAAGGCTGGGATAACTAGGGGAGAACTTGATAAGTAAACGTAACCTGACAAAAGACATTTTGTTTTCCTATTAGCCGCAATTTTTGCTATTACTCGCTTACATTTCTTTTTGCCTGCCAAGAGGGCCTGTTGCCATGGCTCTCCTGAATGTCTTTTTCCTCGGAGCTTCTTGGTTTTGGCTTTTGGGACCTGACAGACTGACGGACGTGACCAGCTAGATGAAAAGTTTTTTCCAGTTACTTTCACTAACCTTTCTATATGTTCACCTTTCTGTAACAGGAGTTGATAGTTTGTCATAAAGCAAGTCTTACAAGCTGTGTAAGCTGAGCTGACTGCAGAACGGCTCTGCCTGTAGCTTTGCCATGCTGGTTGTTGAGCACAGAAAAATCAGTTTGCCTCCTCCGTGGGGATGCTCTGAACACGCGAGGGTTGTTTGTGCTGCTGACACATGTGAATCATCCCCTGCCTTTTTTTTTTTGCCTGCTTGTGCATATCATGGTGTCCTTTCTGAAACAGTGCACAGGAAATTAATACTTGCTTTAAATAATCAGCATCTTTGCCATCTGTTTGGGTTGGGTTGCTTGCTGTCTTAGGGCAGGTTTTTAAAAGCTGGAGAATTAAGAAATTCTTTTGGGAAAGGTCAGTTTTAGGTGTTTTTCCCTGTTTTGGAAGGGAACAAAAGATCTGAACTGCTTTTCTCCATTAGAGCTGTTGATCATGCTCGGAGAATGACATTAATAGTATCACTAGTCTTTGGTCCTAGCTAGAAGATGAAATCTGCCTGTGTGATGGGTAATTCAGGGATTTTCAGGAGAAATCCTGTGCTCTTCACAGGAGTCACAGTTTCAAGTGGGGCTGAATTACATCAAACCTCTGCACAGTGGCTGAGATTGAGAGAGTGGAGGGGTGGGGAGGTGGTGCTGGCGCGACAGGAGTCGTTCTCGTGCAGCAGGGAGCTGCAGGAGCTGGTTTGTTGCCCTCCAGGCGCGCAGGGTCCCCGCCCTGCCGTCTGTTGCTGCGGCGGCTGCTGCTGCTGCGACGCGCCTGCCCATCCGGGCGCCCCGTGCAGCTCGGGACCTGCTGCGATTCCCTGCTGGGGTTTTACCGCCCGGGCCCCCAGCCTGGCATCTTCCCTTGGGAGCGCTGCGGTTCCGCCACGCTCTGAGCTGCTCCTCGAGGGCACCAACCGTGCGAGGCAGCGCCCAGCTGGGCCCGGCCTTGCGCTGTGCGAGGCAGAGGTGGCCAAGGCTGCGGGAGGTTTGTTTGCTGCTGGGAGCCACGGATGTCCTGGGCGTCACAAGGGAGAGAGGAAATGCTGATTTAATTGGCTTAGTTCTCTCTCCTCCGCCCTCTCTCCAAGTGGGACGTTTTCTGCACTGGAGGCCAGGCCAAAACAGCCTCTTACTCCATTTTTCCTAGTGCTTTATGGAACTTGTGAGCAGCGCACAGCTAGTTCCTACGTGATGCTACTTCAAGCGTGGAGCTGGAGGTCACGCTGATCTCCGTTGCAGCAGTGCAGATAGGCCTCAATACTGCTGCCTGAGAGAAATTTATTTATTTACTTATTAAAAAACAAAGAAAATAAAAAGCTGGTAATTGTCCACTTTGTTTTTTTAAAAAAAACAAAACCAAAAAGTCCAATTCGAAAATATTATCTGAGACTCTAGTAATTATTTAGTGTTTTCTAGTTTGCTAATAACAATGCGCAAATCAGCTGTTCCTACTTCAGTGCTCTTTGCAAGTAGACTAGGTTGTTGTGTCATGTTACATTTCAAGATAGTTTTGAGACTCTCTTGTTCAGAGTCTTTCTCCAAAATTAATTTGGGGTCTTACAAATAGTACTCATGACAGGGGATGCTTCAAGAACATCAGCAAAGATGTGAACCTGGCTGAAATTGAAGGAACTGGCAACCCTGAACCTGCACTTCCATATGATTTCAACAATCTTGAGCTGTTTTAAATACAATAATAATGATTGTGGCTTAAATATCTTCTGGGGGAGAAATAAGTTTGTTATTTCTTGGGAACTGGATTCTCTTCTGAAAGTTATCATAGTGTGTTTATGGTCTTGACAAGGACAGTGCTAATTTTAAAAGCAATTAATGATGAACCTCTCGGGAATTTGATTTTTGTCTAAATAATTATAATCAATCTGAGATTGCCTAATATGAGTTTTTAGGGATAAACTGTTGACCTAAACTTTGTCCTTAACTAAGAAAAGAATGTGAATTGTTCTTCCTTGTCCATATGTCTTTTTAAGGAAGTTGATAAAATGAAATTAAACTTTATTTTTGTGGTGTTTGGCACCATAGAATTTTCTGTTAGACTGATGGGAACTATCAGTCTTTTTTTTTTCATTTTCTTGCATTAAAACTATTTACGGACTGTTAATTACCTGCGCAGGAAGCAAAGAACATGTGTGGAAAGTTGCTTTTTCTATCAGATACAAGTAGCATGTATTATGAAACAGGTTTTATATCTACGTGAGTCTGAACTAGCATTAAGCAGATTTTATTAAACAGCTGCTCTTGAAGCAGAGGGATGGCCGGGAGTCCTTCCTGACAATGCATGTTTAAAAAAGAGAGATGTGCTTTAGCATGTTATGTATCCTCTTCAGCCGCCTAATACCTCTTTTCTTTTTCTAGTTGCTATAGCTCAGGGAGGTGCAATCCAGATTTCCAGTCCTGCCTCCGACGGTGTCCAGGGGCTGCAGGCCTTAACGATGACCAACTCCGGAGCTCCTCAGCCGGGCGCTACCATCGTGCAATACGCGGCCCAGTCACCCGACGGCACGCAGCAGTTTTTTGTTCCTGGAAGCCAAGTTGTTGTCCAAGGTATATATTTGTTGTCCAGGGTTTACTGTATCTTAGATTTTTTTTTTATATATATAAAAACACCTTTCCCAAAGGCTTTTTGTCCTTGTATTATTGCAGTATTAAATATCCGTGCATATAAGATGACAGAAAATTGGCCTTAGGAGGAGACTGAGTTTCTGCGCTCAGTAAAGCGGCTATTTCTTTTGATTAAACAAGCTATGAAGAGGAAATGACAGGATGAAATCACTGTCTGCTTTGAATTCTCATGTCCAGGCTTTGTAAGACATGTTTAATTGCAGTAAAGGTGCTGTTACAGTTTAAACTAAGATGCCAAGCTGCGTAATTCCGTCTCATTTAGTATATTGAACTAATTTGATTTTTCAGCAGTTTATCAGTGTTCATATAACAAAAGTTCGGAAGTTATTTGAGCTGTTATGAGGAAATATTTAGTACAGGTTTTCCTTCCAACTTATGACTCTTACAGTTATTAGGAAGGATTGGACACGAGATCCTTGCTTGAAGCTGGTCTTTATACAGAAGAGATCTATAAAGCCCTGTAAAAATGTGTACACATGAACTGAACTGTGGATGGTGAGTTCTTAAAACTTATTCTAGATTATGCGGAGTGTTTTTTTCCTTCCTCTGCTGAGACAAGCTGAGAGCCAAAGATATCTTGAATTCTTATCAGGACGAGGGCAAGTAAGGCTGGAATTACAGTTATGCCGAGGAAAGCCATGGGAAATGGAAAAAGATTTCTGCTTAGAGACACTAAATCAGTATCTACCATAGAGGATAAAAGTGTTTGTTTATTTCTGTGTATTTATTTATTTTGTCAATGCAGAGAAGTACAGTAAAACGTCTGGATAGAGGCTCTCTCTTAAGACCAAACGACTGTTTTAAATACACTTTGAAAACACCTGGGAGGCCTTTGCCTATGTATTTATGGAGGGGGTGAGAGTCATCGACTGAATGTAGACACAGTTAAGTTAGCTAGTTGGTAAGCTCCAGGTTGAGGCTTAGTTTGCCCTAATACAGGTATTTGAAATAGATTTTGGCTTAAAGAGCCTGTTTATCTGTTTGCTGTGAAGGAAACCCAGGAAAGAAATTAAGACTAATACCACAGAGTTAGAAGTTATTTGAACTTCTGGAAAAAATGCTAAATAATCATAGAATCATATAATCCTTAAGATTGGAAGGAACCTTCAGAGATCATCTAGTCCAACCCACCTCATACCACACTTCAGTTTTTCTGTTGCCTCTGATTAAGTCTTTGTTCCAATACATTATCATTTTAAGAGTTTTTGGAAGCATTTCAAGGAAGCTGTAGGAATATGATGTGAAAAGCTGTAATCCAAAAAGAGCTTCCATCAGGCAGAGAGTACAGTCACAGTTTTAAATAAAACAAGCAATACTCATAAAACTTACTGCAAATGCCCTACACATTGATGTGAATACATTCAGCAAAGCCAAATTCACTCTGTGATTGTGGTGCATGTATTTTGGGTAGGAGTATGATAAAACTTCTGTAATGTGTAATGTATGTGCATAGACATACATTTAACATGGAGAGCTTCTTGGTCACTCTAGTTTGTAGTATTTAGAATGTCCAGCTTGATTTTTCAAGAGCTCCTAGGAACAGTGGAAAGTTGCTCCTCGGTCGTTTCCTGCAGCCTCGCCAGCCTGGTAGGAAGCACAAACCATGGAGACCCTGGCAGATTTTCAGGGGATTTTACCTGCCTGGCCCTTCTTTATGCCCTCCTTGTGCAGGGCTCTCCAGGCTGCCTCCTACCCCCTTCCTCAGCAGTTCAACTGTGTGTGGGGTTATAGTCTGTCACCTGTCTCACCTGTAATTAAAACTCTCAAAATGTATTTGGGGACGGTTGCTGAGTAGTTGCTATATCTTGTTTCTGGAAGTGTATAGGTACTTTGAGCTGAATTCTTGATGTTCTCTGTCCGTGCTCAGAGAAGTTGCTTGTATCTGGAAATCTGAATTCTCTTCAGTGGTTCTCTCTGTTACTTTGGCCCAAACAAAGTGCAGTGCTCTACCAATGTTCATAGTTGTTGATGTAGAAGAAATATGTTACATAAAGTAAACAGTAAGTGAGCAGGAACTCAGAGATAATAAAAAAAATATAACATTTCAACTGAATAATTGCTCTTTTGATACTGAAAAATCATTTGGAAAAAAACGACTTAAAAAAAAGAAGAAAAAAAGTGAATGCACCTAAAAATCTGTTTCTCTGCAAGTAGAGGTAAAGCAGAGCTCTTTGGAGTGAGACAATAGAATTAATTGGGTTCACAAGTCTCTAAATCCTTACTAGAGATCAGGTGGTCTGAATGGATGTGTTAGAAAGTCTACAAGAAGATAGGTGTAATTTATGTACACTTTGTAGTTAACTGTACACCTTATATCGTGATTGCACAGATTTTGTTAGAAAAGCAAAATTCTTAGTAGCCTTTGCACTTTTATAAGGAGCATATAAGCTTTATTTGTAGTAACAGACATAAAATAAAAACAGGGGTAGAAGGAGTCTGTCTCAGAAATCTAAGATAGTGTTTTATATGTATTTATATTTTTCTGAAGTATTTGCTGGTGAATCTTGGGTAGCAATGGATGGCCTCACAGAAACCCATGCTTGCTATTTTTGATAACCTCCAGTAGGAGGAAGGGTTAATATAAAAAGGCCAAGGAGGAAGATAATGAAAGATCACTCAGTTGGAGCAACAAGTTGACATTTATAGGCAGAATAGGAGGCAATTTTGATCCTAATACAGATTAAAGGCTTATTTTTTTTTTTACTAGCTGTATAAAAGGACGAATGTTTAAATATTACGGGAAATGACTGTATAGAAGTCCTATCAAAATTATTCTGTTGGGACCTGTGTGTGTTTGCGCAGCACAGGTAGTGAGATGAGCAGAGACGTTTCAGAGCTCCGCAGCTGTGATCTCCTCCTTGCGTGAGTTCTGCTCTGCCCACGTGGCCCCGAGGGAGCCCCGGAGTCACAGGAGCCCTTTCCTCGTGCTCCTGCCTCCTGCACTGCTTTCTTTGGCAGGGGTTCCTAGCAGATAAAGTGCCAGGCTAAATCAGTTTATTGCAGGCAAAGGCCGTAGTTGTTGTTTACAGCGCTGTACATACCCAGCAGTGCCTGCCTGCTGCTCTGAGTCGGATCTCACTTACGGTGGTGTAAATCAGGAGTAACTCGGTTAAACTGAAGTTGTTTTTTTGAGTAACTCAGTTAAACTGAAGGTTTTGTTTGTTTGTTTTCTTTCTTTTTTCCTTCCATTTTCTCTCCTCCAGAAGCTTTCTTGGACTCATCCTGGAAAAGGAGGGGAAAGGGGAGAGGTCGCCCTTACCCAGGGCTACTGCCCTGCCTGCTATTTCATGTGAAGCCACTGCCATTTGGCTGTCTTACTGTTTGCTTTCCAGGGAGCTTCAGCCTTTAGGACTTTTTTTGGTTTACTTATTTGTTAGAGATTATTGCAGAGCCTTGCCTTTCACTGGAACGGCTGCAGAGTTTCTGCTGGTTTATATCCAGTCACGGCTTTATCGCCGTGATCCCTTCATGAGTTTTGGAGTCACTTTGTCATTTCTGCCAGTCAGTGCTCCAGGTCTGGCCGCGCAGGCAGCTGTAGATGGGGCATGAGCGGGCGGCGAAGCCCACAGCTCGGCTGCGAGCCGCGAAACCAGCGTGTGTGGGCGGAAGGAGCCCGCCGTGCGCGGCAGCGGGGGGACGGAGCAGCCGGG